TGTCTTAAAGCGACAATATTGAGAATTGTGGATCCCTGCCTGATTTTTCAAGTGTTCCATTATCATAATCCGTTGCCGTTTGATTAAGGTTTAAGATCTATCATAGATCTAATCTAGGAATTTATTAATATTCTTTTACGGTTTATATTATTTTTAAATTAACTTTTTCAATATGATGCTTTAATCACTCATATAATTAATTTGAGCCAACTCAGCCGGCTCAATGAGCTGGCTTGACCCTAAGCAGGTCGTAGCCGAAAAAACTCGGCTTTTTAACAACACTATTAATAAGTCTTAAGTAAATTCGAAAAAAAAGTTTAGGGGTTTTTTTTCCCGGGATTCGTTATAATTTAAATATTTCCTCGTTGAATCTACTAGATATGATAAAAAACTTACCATCTGCACATCTTACAATGAAATTTATACCTTACGTTTTTTTTATCGAGACTAAAATGTGATATCAGGAAGAAAATTACATATCATTGTAACACAGGGAAATAACTTTGTATATATTATCTATGCTAAATGTATCTTTAATATCAATCTCTATCTTTGACATTTTAAATTATTTTGGAAACTAGATTATGTAGATATCTAAATATTAATTTAAATGATTAAGAATTTAAAATTAATTATATATTTTAATAATTTGTATGTCTATTTATTATGTAAAATTGAATAAAGCCAAGTAATATTGGAAAATAGCTCGTTTTGAACCTATATTTAAAAACCGTCAATTCAATAATTTAAATCCTCAGATTACGATAATAGATGTCTAGACCTTAATACCATCTAGTTTACAAAAAATGTTATTTTAAATCGATTTCAATCAAGGATTCGTAACAAGGGCATTTTTGCGTTCCCGTTCCAGTGGTCAAAAAATGTTTCGTTCCACATTTCGGCACGTTGATATATAAATATATTTATAATTAATCTTTATTCCTAAATTATTAAATTATATCAAAAAAAATTTATATTTTATAAATAAAAAAAATGCATCCGCAAATACTTATATAAAATATATTAGTTTTAAAATTTCAAGGAGGTGAATTGACGGATATTTAATATTCTAAAATTAGAAAAGGAATTTTATTTTTATTTGGCGTGGTGCCAGCTAGACGGCTAATATGTTAAAAAAAATTTTCATTTTCTTCATTGTTAGGGAGATATTAATTATTATTTTTTTAACTTTCTCCCTTTTCTTACAATTAAATTATTTTTTTATTATTGTTGGGGCTAGACTAGCCAAATCTAAAATTTTTTTATTTATTCATTTAATGTTTTTAAAATTAAATATTATTTAAAAAGTAGCATAATAATGTTGAGATTTTTTTCTTTTTCTTCATTGTTATGGAGATATTAATTATTATTTTTATAACTTTCTCCCTTTTCTTAGAATAAAATAATTTTTTTAGGGTAGGTCTATAAGTCGAAAAGCTTGGTAATACGAAAGGTTAAAAAATAATATTGAAAATAAAAGGGTATGACTAAATACTGTCTTGCTAAACTGTCTTGCTAAAAAGCAATTAATCATAATTAATCAATGATATAATATCTTTTAAAGAAAATTTTTCAAAATCATTTTTTTTATTTTACATAAATCAATTTTTAATTAATTAACAAATTGATAATAAATATCAAATAATTTAAAATTCTAATTTTACTTAATTTTATTGGAAAAAAAATATATTTACTAGCTTATTACAACTTATATTTTATTTTTCAATTACAAAATTTAACAAATTTATATCCATAAGAGGGCGTTAAATACATAAATATGAAAATATATTCTTAGGAAACCAGAATAAATATTGGATAGCGCTTTTTTTGTATTTGGGTGTAAATACATGTGAAAAACCTAAAAAAATTTTAATAAATAGAGGTTTCTTTGAGATTTAATTAATGAGTAGGTTTAGAAGGGAAAAATAGTAGAAAGTTTGTAAGGAACATATTGCTGGCGTTATTGATCAATATCTCTTCATTTTTAATTTATACTTGTATATTTAGGTGTTAAACATTATCCTAAAAAATATTTTGAAAATATTATGATTTGACCGAATACCGGGCTTAAAACCGATCAATTACTAAATATTCGATCGACCAAATTTGGTGTTAATATTATTTGGAAAATAATCATTTTTTGTTTATTTATCTATAAATACGTGCAAATCATTATCACAAAAAATATTTTTAAAATATCGTGATTTGACAGAAAACCGATTTGAAACCGGCCCAATGACTAAATACTGTCTTGCTGGCGTTATACATGGAAAATTCTTTATTTTTGGTTTATACGTGAACAATAACGTGTTAAGCATTATCCTAATTAATTTTTTGAAAATATTATGATTTGACCGAATGGCGAGCTCAAAACCGACCACTTACTAAATATTCGATCTACCAAATTTGGTAGTAATATTATCTGAAAAATGTTCATTTTTGGTTAATATATCTATAAATACGTGCAAATCATTATCCCAAAAAATATTTTAAAAATATCGTGATTTGACCGATAACCGATTTGAAACCGAAATACTGTCTTGCTGGCGTTATACATAGAAAATCTCTTCATTTTTGGTTTATAGGTGTATATTTAGGTGTTAAACATTATCCTAAAAAATATTTTGAAAATATTATGATTTGACCGAATGGCGAGCTCAAAACCGACCACTTACTTAATATTCGATCTACCAAATTTGGTAGTAATATTATTTGGAAAATGTTCATTTTTGCTTAATTTATTTATAAATACGTGCAAATCATTATCCCAAAAAATATTTTAGAAATATCGAGATTTGACCGATAACCGATTTGAAACCGAAAATACTTTTCTCAATTTCCCTTAAAATAGTTGGATGGGTACGTATATACTCTTTTTCATATTTATCTTCATTTATAACATTTACTGGATAAAAACCTAGATATTCAACTAAATACACGTTTTTTAAATTAAGTTTAGAGGTATTATCAAATTTATTTAAAATACTAATTTTTCTTTTATAGTTTTCATCCCTTTTTAAATAAGTATAATATATATTATATATCAACATGTAACTTTTATCTGGTGATTTAATTAATATGTCATATATAGGTTTATTATGCCTCCTAGTATACTTGCAAAGGCAATTATTATTAAAAACATATGGGCCTAATATATTATTTTTATCTAAGAAATAAATATATTTTTTTAAACTGGATTTGACACTACTCCAAGCACCACAATCATCAACATATGCATTGCGATATATATTTTTTATATTATTAGTATTATTAATTATATAATATTTATTATTTTTGATACCTATTGGTATAGAATTTAAAATATTTTTAGGATCTAGTGAAAGCTGTGTTACCTGTGTAGTCTCGATAAATGAATTTTTTAAGATGATATCACTACTATCGCATGGTAATAAATTTTTATTTTGTGAAGAGTTTGATGATAAAATGTTTTTTATTAAAAAATTAGTTAATTTTTGATTATTAGTATATTTATTATCATTAATTGGGGAAAATTTTATATTATTTAAATTTGATTTTGGTAGATCGAATATTTAGTAAGTGGTCGGTTTTGAGCTCGCCATTCGGTCAAATCATAATATTTTCAAAAAATTAATTAGGATAATGCTTAACACGTTATTGTTCACGTATAAACCAAAAATAAAGAATTTTCCATGTATAACGCCAGCAAGACAGTATTTAGTAATTAGGCCGGTTTCAAATCGGTTATCGGTTAAATCACGATATTTTTAAAATATTTTTTGGGATAATGATTTGCACGTATTTATAGAAAAATTAACCAAAAATGATTATTTTCCAAATAATATTAACACCAAATTTGGTCGATCGAATATTTAGTAAGTGGTCGGTTTTGAGCTCGCCATTCGGTCAAATCATAATATTTTCAAAATATTTTTTAGGATAATGTTTAACACCTAAATATACACGTATAAACCAAAAATGAAGAGATTTTTTATGTATAACGCCAGCAAGACAGTATTTCGGTTTCAAATCGGTTATCGGTCAAACCACGATATTTTTAAAATACTTTTTGGGATAATGATTTTCACGTATTTATAGATAAATTAACCAAAAATGAACATTTTCCAAATAATATTACTACCAAATTTGGTAGATCGAATATTTAGTAAGTGGTCGGTTTTGAGCTCGCCATTCGGTCATATCATAATATTTTCAAAAAATTAATAAGGATAATGCTTAACACGTTATTGTTCACGTATAAACCAAAAATAAAGAATTTTTCATGTATAACGCCAGCAAGACAGTATTTAGTCATTGGGCCGGTTTCAAATCGGTTTTCTGTCAAATCATGATATTTTAAAAATATTTTTTGTGATAATGATTTGCACGTATTTATAGATAAATAAACAAAAAATGATTATTTTCCAAATAATATTAACACCAAATTTGGTAGATCGAATATTTAGTAATTGATCGGTTTTAAGCCCGGTATTCGGTCAAATCATAATATTTTCAAAATATTTTTTAGGATAATGTTTAACACCTAAATATACAAGTATAAATTAAAAATGAAGAGATTTTGATCAATAACGCCAGCAATATGTTCCTTACAAACTTTCTACTATTTTTCGCTTCTAAACCTACTCATTAATTAAATCTCAAAGAAACCTCTATTTTTTAAAAATTTTTTAGGTTTTTCACATGTATTTACACCCAAATACAAAAAAAGCGCTATCCAATATTTATTCTGGTTTCCTAAGAATATATTTTCATATTTATGTATTTAACGCCCTCTTATGGATATAAATTTGTTAAATTTTGTAATTGAAAAATAAAATATAAGTTGTAATAAGCTAGTAAATATATTTTTTTTCCATTAAAATTAAGTAAAATTAGAATTTTAAATTATTTGATATTTATTATCAATTTGTTAATTAATTAAAAATTGATTTATGTAAAATAAAGAGCATCAAAATAGCGAAAAATGAGAATAATCACAATACTACTCATAAGAATATTCACAAAAATGGCCGCCATATTTTTGATATGATTCCAACTGTAGCTGATAATCTTAAAAATTATCTTATAAACAACTTGAAATAAAAGTAATAAACCATTTCATATATTTATTATTTTTGTTTTCAGCAAACACAGAAGAAAAAGGACTATATATGCTACCAAGGGCATGAATATTTGGCCCATACAAGTGGTAAAAAGGCCATTTACCTTACTTGTCGCAAAAGATGTGGTGGTAGAGCCAAATTAATGATTGGTCTCGATTTAATTATCACCATCCAACATTCTTTAGAATGTCAAAACTTGGTAGCAGCCATAACTCCTAATGCAAATCAAGGTATTTATATATACATATCCATACAATAATTTTAACATTGATTTAAAGATTTAGCATTAGCCCCTCCACCTTTAAGTTCAGTTGGCCTAGCCATTACACATCAAGGTATTTATGATATACTTTTATTAAAATTAACTTAAAATTATTAGCCCAAGTTTCAATAGCCCCTCAAACTTCTAATGCAAATCAAGGTATTTATATATACATATCCATACAATAATTTTAACATTGATTTAAAGATTTAGCATTAGCCCCTCCACCTTTAAGTTCAGTTGGCCTAGCCATTACACATCAAGGTATTTATGATATACTTTTATTAAAATTAACTTAAAATTATTAGCCCAAGTTTCAATAGCCCCTCAAACTTCTAATGCAAATCAAGGTATTTATATATATATATCCATACAATAATTTTAACATTGATTTAAAGATTTAGCATTAGCATTAGCCCCTCCACCTTTAAGTTCAGTTGCAGCTATTACACATCAAGGTATTTATGATATACTTTTATTAAAATTAACTTAAAATTATTAGCCCAAGTTTCAATAGCCCCTCAAACTTCTAATGCAAATCAAGGTATTTATATATATATATCCATACAATAATTTTAACATTGATTTAAAGATTTAGCATTAGCATTAGCCCCTCCACCTTTAAGTTCAGTTGCAGCTATTACACATCAAGGTATTTTTAATATACTTTTATTAAAATTAACTTAAAATTATTAGCCCAAGTTTCAATAGCCCCTCAAACTACCTCTGGCTTTGCCAGAGCCTATCAAACCTTTATTTCAAATCTAGGTAATTCAGGAACTTATCAAGATATAAATGTTGGCATTGAAAGTATCTTATACATTAATTTACAATATCTAAAATATATTTATAGGTAATACGGATCTGCCTTTAGAAGTGGCCCATGTATTAATGGATTTACATCAAAATATAAATGGTAAAAATATATTTATAAATGTCTTTAATTAAATACATATTGTCACATAATATTATAACCCTATATATTAATATAGCATAGAGATTTTTTAAATTGTTTTTAGGCATGACCTTAAAATAATTTTAAAATTTTTTAACATTTAAATGATAAGTTATTTATTTGCTCGAATTTTTTTTAAAGTATCTTGTTCTATCTGATTTTTCCTTTAATGTTTGAGCCCTTATTAATATATAATTTTTCTATTTATTAAGATCCCCGGTTTGTAAAATCTCAAAAAGGAAAACCGCTTCTTTTTTTTCAAGATTATTTGTATCGACAGGATTATCAAAAAGATAATAAAATACATTATCGTTGCAGGAAAGTTGGCTGCAAGGCTTCATGCAAATTCGATGTTATATACATTACTTCTGGATTGCATGAACATCAAAATGAAATTGATATTTTTGAAAAGTTAAGGACTCATGAGGTTCTAGAGGATATAGTTGCCGAAAATCCTTTAGAAACAAGGCATTATATTTATGAGAAAGCCATAAATAAAAGATTTTTGGAAACCCCAAATATAAATTTCTATCCGGAGGCGATGCCCTCATTTATTTCGTTAAGCTTATTTCCCCATAGCATATGGACTAGGTATTTAAAAAATTAATGTATATATACAAAATAAATTTATAATTTAGATATCAAGTCAATGGTCCTAGAACAAATAACTATTTAGAGGGCTATCATCATAGCATCAAAAGAAAAACGTTATGTCCCCATCCTAACATTTATTCTTTAATTAACATTTTAAAAAGACATCAACACGCTTCTGAGATTAAATTAATTCAGATTAATAGCGGGTTGAATGTTAATCGTAAAAATCGCAAATATATTCAATTAAATATTTTAATACAAAATCTTACTTCCCTTTATGATCGAAATATGGATGTATATGTTTTTTTAGATAATATATCTAATTTAATTAAATTGCAATCTTAAATCGCGCTTTCTTATATTTTTATAAATCTTTTGCCATATATTATATATTTTATTTACATAATCTTTTGTTTTATATTATGTTAATATAAAGTATAAATTTAAAAATATAATTTTCGCGCATATTATATACTTCAGTAATAAAGTAGTTGTTTATATTATTAACCTAAGAATAATACACGTTAAAGTGGTGTATATATGTTTTTTAAAATTAAGTAAAAATTATACACTTAATTTATTATACATAAGAATTTAATTAATAAAATAAGTGATTTTATACATAACTCATCATATCCTATTTATTTTTATATTTAATTTTAAATATAATTTATATGTATTTTTGAGAGGGAAACATTTTAGGTAGTTTTCAGTTTTTAATAATAATTTGCTTCTTATCCGCGTCTTAATGAGAGAAAAAAAATACTCCCTATCTCCCACCTTAAAAATATGTTTTACTCCATATCCCTACAGGATATTTGAAGGAATTTGCACGATAAGATATTCGACGATCGCGAACAACAAAAATAATGGATTTCTCAGAGAGAGGAATGTTATAGATGTTAAAAAATAATATTTTAATATTAAATAATAATATTTTAATATTAAATAATATTTTAATATTAGCTAAAATAATATTTATAGTAAATTTAAATAATAATTATAATAAATTTAAATAATTATTATAATAAATTACAAAAATATAATATAACATAAATTTAAATAAATTATAATATTATTTAAAATAATTTAAAATATTTACCAATTAAAATAATTTATGATATATATAAATTATAATAATCGCATGACCTTTTCGAGAATTATATTTTTATAATTTTCAAAAGAATTAAACTCTGAAGTTTCAATATAAATAAATATATATTTATAATTATATAATAATCATAGAATATAAAGATAATTTTAATATAAATATATATTTTATAATTTTATGATAGCTAATATTAATATATAAAAATTATAGGTGAAATAGAAAAATATTGAATGCTAATAATTTATAAAACACTATAATATTAATATATAAAAATTATATGTGTAATATTATTGAAAAAAGTTTTATAATACTAAAAAGATTTATATATTATAATTTATAAATTATAAAATATTATAATATTAATATACAAAGTAAAATAATTTATATATATATAAATTATTTTACTTTGTTAATATTTTAAAAAATATTATTTAAAATGGATAAAAAGATGTAATTATTTATCAACATTCATTTAATTTATCGCTATTGATACGCGCTATTGGGTTTCGTTAGCTGATATTTACACAACTTGCAAGGAAGAACATGTTCCTGAAGATTCTGATTTAATTTTAATTAATCAAGTAAGAGATAAATGTTTTAAAATTGTTTTACGAGTTTCGTCACTTTTATAGCTACCATAAGCTATGCTGTTTAGCGCACTAGTAGCTAGCGCCGCCATTTATATATAGCCATAGCTAAAAATTAGGGGAATCTTGAGAGGAGATTGTATAACAGGCAATGAAAATATTTAATACATAACTTATAATATTCGATTTATTTTTAATATTTTTGATAGGAAAAAATTGTAGTTTAATTAGTTTTAATTTTTCTATAAATTAGGATTTGCTCCTTTTATGTCCATAAGAGTAAAAAATTCCCTCCTATCTCAACCCTAAATTATTTTTTACTTACTATCCTTAAAGGCTATATTAAAACATTTACCCCCCCCCCCAGCGTCTACGTGAATGGGGAGGGGTAGTAGCAGTTCACATCCAATATTTTGAGCAGGGTAAGGGGTAGGCGCCTGGGGGTAGGACAGCGTCTACATGACAGGATTTTCACTGGATGCAAACCCCCTTCAAAAACCTTTGCCTACCTCCCCTAAAAAAATCGTCACCTTCGGCGGCGGTGTCTTTTTATCATTATTTTCACTTATTTATTTATTGATACTCTTTTCAAAGAATTTATAAAGGATAACTTAAATAATTTATCTCTACTACCAACTATCGATATTTTGTGAATATAAAGAATTTATTTTTTAAATAATAAATTCAATTAAAACCTCCATTATTTACAATGAATTAATTATTATGGCATTATGAGCTTGCTAAAATATCTAAACCTTAAGTATTAATTTTTACAGCAATAAATTTTGTCCTATTTCATCTCAAAATTTAATAGATAACCCCCCCCCCCAATTTATCCTACCCCCATAAGAGCAGCTTACCCCCTCAAAAAAATAGGATGCAAACTGTTCCTACCCCTCCCGCTCATGTAGACACTGGGGTAGGATAAATATATTTGGAAATTATTTATTAATTTTTAGATAAAATAGGAAAAAATATATTGCTGTAAAAATTTATCCTTTTTTTTGTTTCAGTGATATTGTGGCAATCTATGTCTCTGAATAATTTCTGGGCGAAAGTAAATTAATGATATTATGTAGTACTGTTGGAGTAAATGTTGAGTTTTTTTATTTTAGAGTTGAAGATCGTAAAATTGTAATATAAATGTTTATAATATAATAACAATAACCAACATCTACATGGTAGAAAATTTGATGGATGCAAACCCCTTTCCAAAATCTACCCCTACCCCCTAAAATATATCGCCCTTCGGTTGCGATATTTGCCAATCCACAATGCATTAGTGATATTAATAAAAAGAATATTACAGTAAGCCACCATATACAACCTTATAACTTTCTATTAACAATATTTTAAGCCTTAGGAGATAAGGATTTTGAAATTTGTAGGTTATAATTAATATGTTACTATCCTTTTTCTAAAAATAGGAAATAAATATATATTTTAATAGTGCAATCATTTTATCATTTGGTTGATAATCACTTTATTTTTATATTAAGTGTGATAACGCATTTTCATTTCTATAAAAAACGATCTAAAATATTGTAAAAAATATAAGATGATTAATTTTTAAAGAGGTATATTTGGTTTATCAATTATTGGATTTAAAAACATCATAATACAAGTAAAGATTACCATTCAAAAATAAATACTTATCCCCAAAAATTAATGCCTACCTCCAAAATTTTAATATTGAAAAATTATAGTTATTATTTATAATAGATATATGTGCTCATTTATAATTTAAACCAATTTATATATTGATACATTTTATATAATAATAATATAATATTATAAGATAAAAATTATGTGTTATATACATTTATAATAATAGTTTTATAATAAAATAATAATAAAATAATTTTTACAACAGTATTAATATATTATAATTATGTAATAAAATGATTTATATATCTATAATTTTTAAAATGATATATATATTTATAATTTTTAAAATAATTAACATTTTTTTTAAATATTATATATTAGTATTTTTATGGTTTTCATTCATTTAATATCTCGCTATTTTGCTGCTCGCTATTTAGAGGTGGAACCGAGAGTTTAGCAAGACAGTTTAGCAAGACAGTATTTAGTCATACCGAAAATAAAAATAACAAAGAAAATGTTAAATGAGATATTTGATTGATTTATTGCTTTTTTTAGAAAAAAATATTATAATAACATTACATTATAATATATTAAAAATATGGAAATTTTAAGATCTTTTCAATTTTTTTATTAATTCTTTGAAATAATTTGCGGTTTTAAAAAATTAATTTTATTATATTAATTTTTAAATTAATATTATTAATTAAAATAATATTTGGTTATGATTTTATTTTATATATTAAGTAAGTATAAATATATTGTAATTACTTGATAAAGAAGTAAATGAGAAACATAAATTTTTTAAGGTATTTTTAATTTGTGAAAGCATTTAAGAGGGTAAAGGCTAACATCTTAAACGTAATTTTAAATATAATTATATCATTAAACTCAGAATTTAACCGCATAGATGTATTTTTTTACGTTTCCGGTTCACAAAATAAATTTTTTGTCGCGAAAGACATTTATAGGGGAAAGGCTAACATTTTAAAAGTAATTTTGAATATATTTATATCATTGAACTCAGAATTTAATTCTCTATCCAAAACCGCTTAGATGTATTTTTTTACGTTTCCGGTTCACAAAATAAATTTTTTGTCGCGAAAGACATTTATTGGGGAAAGGCTAACATTTTAAAAGTAATTTTGAATATATTTATATCATTGAACTCAGAATTTAATTCTCTATCCAAAACCGCTTAGATCTATTTTTTTACGTTTCCGGTTCACAAAATAAATTTTTTGTCGCGAAAGACATTTATAGGGGAAAGGCTAACATTTTAAAAGTAATTTTGAATATATTTATATCATTGAACTCAGAATTTAATTCTCTATCCAAAACCGCTTAGATGTATTTTTTTACGTTTTGTTCACAAAATAAAGTTTTTGTCGCGAAAGACATTTTGAATCGGAAATGTAAAAAAATACATCTAAGCGGTTTTGGATAGAGAATTAAATTCTGAGTTCAATGATATAAATATATTTAAAATTACGATTAAGATGTTAGCATTACCCCTATAAATGTCTTTCGCGACATAAAATTTATTTTGTGAACCGGAAACGTAAAAAAATACATCTAAGCGGTTTTGGATAGAGAATTAAATTTTGAGTTCAATGATATAAATATATTCAAAATTACTTTTAAAATGTTAGCCTTTCCCCTATAAATGTCTTTCGCGACAAAAATATTATTTTGTGAACCGGAAACGTAAAAAAATACATCTAAGCGGTTTTGGATAGAGAATCAAATTTTGAGTTCAATGATATAATTATAAAGATGTTAGCATTTCCCCTTTAAAATGCTTTCGCGACATAAAAATTATTTTGTGAACCGGAAACGTAAAAAAATACATCTAAGCGGTTTTGGATAGAGAATTAAATTCTGAGTTCAATGATATAATTATATTCAAAATTACGTTTAAGATGTTAGCCTTTCCCCTCTTAAATGCTTTCTCAAATTAAAAATACCTTAAAAAATTTATGTTTCTTATTTACTTCTTTATCAAGTATTTACAATATATTTATACTTACTTAATATATAAAATCATAACCAAATATTAATTAATTAATA